ACTTCCCCCTCACCATCTCGGAGCGGTGGCAGCAGGAGGTGGCAGAGACTGTCTTCGACACCATCAACGCTGAGACAGACCGGCTGGAGGCCCGCAAGAAAACCAAAAACAAGCAGCTGGGCCACGAGGAAGGTGAGGGTCGGCGGCTGCCATGGGCGCCCAGTGCCCGCCTTAAAGATCGGAAACAGGCTCAGGTTTCAGCCAAGCTCACAGCCAGAGAGCAGCTGAGCCAGGATTCAAACCCGGGCGGAGCGGGCCCGGCTGAGTCCCCCCCTCTTACTCTCTTGCCTCAGACTACGCCCTGGGCAAGGACTGCATCATGCACGGCTACATGTCCAAGATGGGCAACCCCTTCCTGACCCAGTGGCAGCGGCGGTACTTCTACCTGTTCCCCAACCGGCTCGAGTGGCGGGGCGAGGGCGAGGCCCCGGTAAGCAGCGGGCCGGGGCCGGGAGCCCCTGGGCTTGGCGGCTGGTGGGGCCTGTCCCGCGCCCTCACCGCCCGCTCCCCGGCCCGCAGCAGAGCCTGCTGACCATGGAGGAGATCCAGTCGGTGGAGGAGACACAGATCAAGGAGCGAAAGTGCCTCCTTCTCAAGATCCGCGGCGGCAAGCAGTTCGTCCTGCAGTGCGACGTGAGTGGGGGCCCGGGGCGGTGGGCGGGGGCGGGGACAGAGTGGCCTTCGGGCCCCCCCCCTGACAGCCCTCAGGGTGTGTGCAGAGCGCCCCCGAGCTGGTGCAATGGAAGAAGGAGCTGCGTGACGCCTACCGCGAGGCCCAGCAGCTGGTGCAGCGGGTGCCTAAGATGAAGCACAAGCCGCGCTCGCCCGTCATGGAGCTGAGCAAGGTGCCGCTGGTGCAGCGCGGCAGCGCCAACGGCCTCTGACCTGCTGCCGCCACCCGCCCGGCCGCCCTCCTGCCCGCCCGCCTTTTATAAACCTCTAATTTATTTTGTTGAATTTTTATTATTTGTTTTCCCGCCAAGCGGAAAAGGTTTTATTTTGTAATTATTGTGATTTCCTGTGGCCCCAGCCTGGCCCAGCCCCCAGGGAGGGGCCCGCTTGCCTTGGCTCCCGCTGCCGCCCACCCAGCCACTGTCCAGCTACCCTCGGCCCCGCCCCCAGGGGCCACCCCC